CCCCCCCCCTCCCCATACCCTTTGGAGACAGGGCCAGCCGACATCATCAACACGTCGTGTATCAACAGGTTTCAACAAACAAGCTGACGGTAAAGAATGTCCAAGACAACACCTTTTGCAACACATGGACACTGACAACGACCATGGGTCAGAGGACCAGGGGGGAGCAACAGGACAGAGGATACAAGTCAACAAACTCATCATCACCGGTCCCCTGGGAGCAACGGCCAACACAGCAATAGGGTGCAGTCAGCACTGGATTTTGCAAGAAGGGTAACGATTGTCAGGCGGCAGGCCAAAGGATACACCATCTGGGCTAGGAGTTGCCCGGGAGCCCATCATGGCAGCATTCACTAATGGGAAACAGTAGGAGCAGGGGCAATTCGGGACTGTTTTTGCAGTAGGGAAGGGATCACCAATGGAACTGATGGGGTAGAGGGTAACCTTGTAATATGCTGTTGTACTTCATGGACGCTGGGCCCAGTTCCCGGCAGGTGCCACTCCCCGCAAATAAGATTGGAGCCATCCCTCCGTGGTGCCCCTAAAACGGACATTGGCTCTTATCCCTGTATGCGGTAGGGGCACACTGCTCTATGTTTTGTCAAAAAAATCAAGAAAAGAAAGGGTGCATCCCTATTGCAAAATTGCACAGGGACAAAAACAACAGACCATGTTGCAAGTCGCATAATTACCCCTCCCACATCCCAGCTCGAGTTATCATTCAAAATCTACTAAGGTTCCAAAAATAAGGGGCCACTTCATTACCAAGCCCCTCAAACTTTACCCGGCCCTCTGTAGCAGTCCTTTCTCAGATCGCGGGAAATCCACACGTATACAGATCCTAGTTCATCACAGGCGTGGGCAAAGTGGAATAACTTTTCACCTGCAGCACATGGTTAATCATTGGTATCAGCAGGAAATTCGAGCTTCGACTCGAGGCTGTATTCAGGTCGACAGAGAAGGAGGCAAAGGGGGCCTATATGTGTAGAGGGGATAGAGATCAAAATGTTTGAGGCAGACATGGGCTTTGACATGGGCTCAGAGCAATCAGCTGGTTCGGATTGATCTTGAAGGGGAAGGTGCTTGTGTGGCTTCACAGTAGGCAGTGGCAGGTCGGTGGTTTTTGGGTGGATAGGGAGTGTTGCACAGTTTGGGCCTCGCCACACTACTCCCAACTTGGCCATTTTCGGGAGAGCAGCATCGCCACACCAGCTCCCGAGTTCAACCTGTCAGATTGAATTCGGGAGCTGTCAGAATGTGGCCCCCGAGAGCACTCCCAAAATCGCTTGAGCCTCACGCCTGTAAAAGGCCATTTTCGGGAGACCTCTCGCGGAGGCCTGTGTTTCGACCGGAGAACTCGTGCGCAGACGAGCATTCTCCTCACAGTTTGGGCCTCGTTCGACACCACTTGAAATGTAAGGATTCTTAGAAAATCATCGTTCCACAACACCCTAATCACGGTGAAAACGAGCTCTGGAATGTTTCCACATTTTGGGCTTGTAGGATCCGCCCCTAAAAAATAAGGGTGGCCCAGGCAAAACGACAGAAATCTCTAGGGAGCCGTCGGAGGTGACTTGAAATGTGAGGGTGGGACCCTACAGAGCGCGTCATTCACGGAGGTAAGGTCAGGTAAGTGTACGGTCTTCCTCAGGGGTTGTGGAACGAAAAACAAAGTTAGGGTAAATTAATCACCCTCGGCCGGTTAGGGTGCCCTTACGATGTAAGAATTCGTAAGTGGTGTGGAACGAGGCCCTTTTCGTTGCCACATGCTGGACATTGCTGGACAGTCGCTGTCTGAGTGCGCCTCCTGGCCCCCAAATCGGAGGGCGCCCCGAGTCGGGAGTGCAATGTGGCGAAGTGCACTCCCGAATGGATTTTCGGGTCTTCCGGGAGTACTCCCAGAAATTTTCTCCAAGTCAGGAGTAGTGTGGCGAGGCCTTTTGTGTATGCTGCCCCGGGCTGGGCTTTCTGGGCCCTTGAACCGAAGGTTGCGGGGGGGGCACTGTCAGACCCATTCCTCACAAGTCCTCGGAAGTTCAGGGGCGGGCAATATCGAGCTGTCGGAGCTTCGGAGGTACTGGCGCTTCGACGGTGGCAAGAGTCAAAAGTGATCAAGGGAATTGGAGGGTAATATGGTGAATGAATTAATTTCGGCCACTTTCATCAGTGCAGCAGTCAGTGTCAGGGAGTTTGTCCCAGGTGGGACTCCAAGCACCCCAGAACCGAACTCTGGGAAGAGACAGGTTCGGTCACTTGAGGTTTGTTCTGACACCATAGTCTGACAGGACAGGACTACCGGTAAGCGCCTCTCTCTGCTGGTTCTTGTCGATTGTCGATCTTTCGACCCAGATCTTGTTGCCCCTCCTCTTTGCACCCATCTTCCGACCGACGCGTTCGTCTGTGTAGCCCCACTGATCTCCTTCAGCCCCTTACGGACTCCTCCCCCCCTCTACTTTCGTTGTCTTCGTCAATTTCGGCTCCTCCATCGTCCTGGTCACCAGTCGCATCTTGCTGGTTTCTAAACCCTTTTTTTGGAACAGGGAATCGGAATCGTCCCCACCATTCCCCTCCATGGTCGTCCACGAGCGCTCTCTCTGCGAGCCTGATCGCTCGAAGTCCTCTCCGCTTACAGCAGTGTCTCACCTTCCTCGCCCTACCTTCCCGTGTCGCCTCTCTCTGCCTTTCTCTGCTGTGGGCGAAGACGAAAAGCTCATCATTATCATTGCCGATCGTCTCTTCCTCCTGCTACTCCTCGTCTTGCGACTGCTGCCCGTGCATAACTGGGCCTCTTCACGAGCTCTGACTACCGTAGTGTGCCTCTTGTTCATCTTTTTTCACGTGATCAGCTTCTTCTTCCCGCCGGAAGCCCGACGGCCTGGGCTGGCATCCCGCCGTCCATCAAGACTTCCAAACGCCCGCCGACAGCCGGAACGCCCCGCCAATGAGTACCGTACCGAGGTCCAGTGTTACCCCCTCCGCCTCCTGCGCAGTAGGTAGAACACCGGAGGAAGAGAATAACGAGATCCAAAGCAAACACCAATCAAGCTAGGAGATTGCAAGCTGAAGTCGCACGCGTCAAAGCTACTAAGCTTCGTGCCCATCGGCAGGCCGCTCGCGTGTGCCCGGCGTATATCGATTCAATGTATTTGAAACGCCCGTGTCCGTCGATCGGCTCACGTTCAGCAGCGAATCCCCGAGGCTGAGATGCCGTCGATACCGATGTCCACACCGATGGGACTGGTGCCAACAGGGACCCCGACGCAGCGAGGAGTCGCACAGAAGCCCGGCTCTGACGAGCGCTCAAGAGGAACCTCCTCTCCTCCCGGCTACCGTCCGTGGCGGCCAGGGAGCTCGCGTGCGATTTGGAGATGTCGGCAGACAACACGCCGTCGCCGACGACTCCGTGCAGCTCGCCGTCGGGGGAAGGAAAGCGGAAATTTTGCAAGGTTGAGGGTGGTGCACAAGAGGCCTCGGAGGAGCAGGGGGGAGGAGGGGGGCGTGGGGGGGGCGGGGGGTTGACCAAGAAGCGCAAGCCCAATCGGGCATCGGGCGGGAAAGACCGCCACTCCAAGGTGCAGACATACCAGGGACTGCGTGATCGACGCGTGAGGCTGTCCGTGCCAGCGGCGTTGGCGTTTTACGACGTGCAGGACCGGTTAGGCTTTGAGCATCCGAGCTCAGCGGTGGAGTGGCTGCTCCATCACGCTGCGCCAGCCATCGCTAGTCTTCCGCAGCTGCCACCTCGCCTGGGGCAAGTGGGATTAGCGGTTTCCCCTTCTGTTGCTGGCGGTACTGGAGGTCCGTTCTTTCAGTATGACGGAGCAACAGCAGGAAGCGGAGGAGGAGAAGGAGGGGGGGGAGGAGGAGGAGGAGGAGGAGGAGGAGACGGAGGCGGCAGTCATGGTGGTGGCGGGGTTGCTGGAGAGCAGCTGTTGAGCTTCGCCGTTCCGGCATCTCGTATGTCTGCGGCCATGGCCTCTCATCTTGCATCTCCCCCAAGCTTTTCGTCTTCGCCCCTACCTACCATGCCCTCTGTCTCGTCGAGCAGCAGCAGCCCCGTAGTGGCCGCACCCACGTTCCTCCATCAAGCTCAACCTTTGCTGCCGCCTCCCTCCTCCTCATTCGCTTCCCCGCGTCTAGCTGTCGTCGGTTGCTCGTCGGCCTCCTCGTCCGCCGCCGTCGTTGCCACAGCGGCGGCCGCCGGCGCTCCGTCGCCGTTGTCAGGACCGGGGGGGGCGGCCCGGTCGTCTCCGACGAGGGCACAGGCGCGCGCCGAAGCGCGCGCGCGGGCCAAAGCGCGCGTCGCGTCCAGAGAGGCTACGGAGCGCACGGGCAGCGGCGGATCGTGTACGCTCTCTGCGCTGACACTGACTGCAGCCTGCAGTCCACCGGAATCGTCATCTATCACTTCTGCTACCGCCGCGGGTACATCAACGGCCACAACAACAACAACAACAATAACGACAGCACCAATAGGAACATCAACAACTGGAACGACGATGACATCGACGGCGACACCACCGCCAATCGCGGCAACTCAGCCTGCGACAAGCCCACCCTCTTCTTCGCCTTCTCCTCGTCCTCCTCAATCGCAAGCGCATTCATCATGTCTGATCGGAAGCGTGGCGGCGCAACCCCCACCGCACGTGCCAGCGGCGGGGATCGCGATATCCGCCTCGCTGTTATCGATCGTACAGAGCTCCTCCTCGCGCTCCTTGGGCGGAGCGGCGGCCACGGGAGGAAGCGGGGCCAGTCCCGCCGTCGCCCCGTCGTCGATCGTGCAATCTTCAGCATTTCAGCCGCCGATGGCATCCTGCGCTTCCTCTGCGGAACGCCTCCTTGCGCCATCCTCAGTAGCTCACGTCGCGCGCCCGCCGGCGCCGGGATCCGGGCCGTCATCGAGAGTCTCACCTGCTGCGCCGCCGGCCGCCTCGGCTATGATTGGTGGGGGGCATCACTACTACTCCTTGCAGCAACCTTTCGCGACGTCAGCGGCGGTATGCACGTCATTGGACTCGTCTCCCCCTCGACATGCTGCGGCTGTTGCTTGCGCAGCAGTCGGCATGGCGTCGCCGTTGCAAACCCCCTTGTCGTCAGTCCCATCGACAGGAAAGCCACCACCTAATCTGCCGCGTCCGTCAGTTTCTGGAATCGGACCCATCAGGCCAGTAAGGGGGGTTGCACCTTTCGCAGGGAGTGGACAAACTCTGCCACCCTCACATCACCAGGAGCAGCAGCAGCAGCAGCAACAACAACAGCAGCAGCAACAACAGCAGCAGCAGCAGCAGCAACAACAACAGCAGCAGCAGCAGCAGCAGCAGCAACAACAGCAGCAGCAAAACCATCATCATCATCACGATCAACAGCAAGCGAGCCCACGGTCCACAGCACCTTCCCCATGTCAACAGCAGCAGCAGTAGCAGCAGGACGGTAGGCAACATTAGCAGGAAACGCAGCAGCAACCTCGATGTGCCCTTGTCGGGGCGGCCGCGACAGTAGGAGCACTGATTGATGCATGGAATCTCATTCTGCAGGGCTGCTCAAGGCCGCCTGCCACTCACCACCTCTTCGTGCCTAATATCTCCTGCTGCGGGATGCGATGAGTTCCCTACTCTTCGTGCATCGCATGATATGCTATGCTGTGCAATACTATGCTAGGAGTACGCTACGGTATATGCTTTTTGCTACACTATTGAGTATGCTATGCTATATTCTTATGTCTTTTCTTTCTTTTTCTTTCTTTTTCTTTCGCCAATTCAGACGTTCTTGTACTGCTTGTATGTATAATTCTTATTCCCTCCTGCGCATCACACCTGTAAATGCGTCACGGCCATCCCGTGTGGTGCTCGCGCGTTGTCGTGCTTCTTCGGAGCTTGGCCGCGCGTTCGTACGGCGCGCGCGCGAGAGAGAGAGAGAGAAGGGGGGGGGGGGGGGGGGGGGGGGGGGGGGGGGGGGGGGGGGGGGGGGGGGGGGGGGGGGGGGGGGGGGGGGGTAAAGTGGTGGAAGGAAAAAAAGGGGCGGGAATCAACGCGGATCGGGGGCTAGGTCCCACTTACACGAATTAAGAGATATTGACCGTAGATAGCACAGATCAACGGTCAGAATCTCGTAATCCGTGCAAGTGGGACCTTGCCCCGGAC